TTTGGAGGGGAGTGAGCCGGAGGTGTCCTGAGTGCCAGCACAGTGCCCGGGACCGGAGAGCAGGACAAGGGACCGTGCTCTCGGGTGACAGAGTCTGGAGGCCTGCCAGGCCGGTGAAGAAAGTCTCTTCCCCACCACGCCCAGGCCAGCCCGGCTGGTCTCCCTGCCACAGCCCCTGCCCCTCCCCATTCCTTATGTCTCATCCAGCACAGATGAAGCCATCGTAGCCCCCAGGACCACGGAGAGCCCGGCGTGGGTCGTTACCTGTGATGATGGCTGGGTTGCTCTGTCCTCCCTCTGGGTTCACCCAGGCTTCCACCGTGAACGCCTCCCGGGGAATCTCAGCCAGCACTTCCGGCCGCAGCCGCAGCCGCTCCCGCCTCCCCGAGAAGTACAGGACGGGCAACCTTCCTCCACGGGGCTGCGAGGTCTCTGCTTCCCAGGAGGGGTCCCCTTCTCCGTTCTGGATGCTGTCCTCGAGGGCACTGGTTCTGACCCTGAGCATAAGGGGACGCTTAGGCAAAGGCTGGAAGTGCCGGGGAGAGGCGTCGGGGTCTGCCTGCACGCCCTCTGCCTGCCCCTTCGCCACCTGGCGACGCCGCCTGGTCTTGGCCCGACCCTTCCCCCGGGTCCCCAGTCTGGGTTCCTTCCGGTGTGCGAAGCGGGCGGTGACAGCGGCGGCCGTGGCCGAGCGCTCACGAGTCCCAGCCTCACGCAGAGACAGCTTGGATCCTCCATCGTCGAGATAAATGTCATCATCTCCCAGCGGCGCAGACTGCCCGATAGGACCGTCCCCTCCCCACGGGGCAGCTGGCTGCTCAGCCTCACCGCTCACTCCGGCACCTGCCATGCCCTCGGTGGCTGGCTCACTGCGTCCTGCATGGTGGGGGCCCAGATCCCCCACAGGGTAGGGCCTCAGGTAGCTGCCTGGCCTGCTGGGGTAGACCCCAAAGAGGTGATGCTGGGGAGAAGCTCGGGGTCTTCGAACCTTGGCGCCCAGCCAACAGCGGTCCCCTTCCGACAGCAGCTGCTGCAGGTGCCCTATCTGGGCCAGAGATCTCTTACGTGTCCGGCCCGGCTCGGAGCCGGCAGTGCCCAGGGCCCACCCGGCCAGAATCACCAGGCTTATTCCCAGGATCTTTGAGCACTTCATCCCTCCCCCGGCTCTTTACACAGAACCAGAAGTCAACTTCTGGGTACCACACTGGAACGATGGGGAGGAGGGAACGAGACGGCCGGCGGTGGGTTCGCAGTCGCTGGGGCAACCGTTTCGTTCGAGCACCAAACTTTTCCAAGCAGCCCCCAGAAGAGCGCCTCTCTGGCTCCCCGTGCTGGGGCTGTGCCCGCACCCCTCGCTCTGTCTGCTCTAGCTCAGTCCCTGCAGAATGAAGTTCATTTCTCTGGGTTCCTCTGAATTTCCTCCAGAGAGCTCAGGTTTCTTTTTCCTTCTCTTTTCCCCCTTTTTCAATGGCCCCTCCCCTCGCCGATTCTAGAGGAGGGACACATGGACACAAGCCAAAGCCTCTCAGACACACGCTCACTCACAAACACATACCCCTCGCTACCTGGAGCCATTAAAAAGCCCCTCCTGTCGTTTTCACCTTCCCCCCTCTTCCTTCCCCAGGAGCTCCCTTCTCTTTGGAGTCCTTAACCTATAAGACATTCGTCTTCAAACAGATCCCCAGGAGAACCCGTGTACTGTGACGACTTGATGCTTCTTATCTAAAAAGGCAAAGGGAATCTAGGCGCACAAAATCCCAGCTGGTACTTAACTCTCGCTCCAGGTGTCTCTGCGGCCAGAGCACGGCCAGCCTCCAACCAGCCCGCGAGGCTCAGAGGGCTCCCCTCGGCTCCGTGCTTGGGGTGGTGAAGTGTTGAAGTTTGCTTTTTTTAGTCCTCTTCCAACTTGTTGGTGTGTTGCAAGTCTCTGGAAAGTTCTCCTTTGGGGTGCCGGTCTGATGTCCTAATAACCTTATGAGTCTCAGAGCCCTGGGCTTCACCTTCTGGGAGTCTCGTGGGTCCTGGGGGGGACGGAAGGGACAGCAAGCAGAGCATGTACCCCAGGGGACCTGCTCACTCTGTCTGGTCCCTCCCGCTCGCTGTCTCCCTTCCTCTGCCTGTAATTATCCCCTCGCTTGCTTCATTTAAAGGCAATGATGATGTCAAAGCTAATAAGTTCAGTGCCTCACTCCACCTACTCCCTGTCCCCTCCTTCCTCCTGAAAACCTCCCACCTCACTGAGGCACAGGGGACAGACGACACTCGGCTTCCCCAGTAAACATCTCAAACATCATCTCGGGCTTTCTCTCTCAGCGGCCGCAGCCTACACAATCGATGGCAAACAATCAATACTGTGTTGGAGCGCTCCTTCCTGTGAGCGAGCGAGCGAGCTCCCTCACACACACACACACACACACACTCACACACACACACACTCACACTCACACATGTATTATGAACAGACCTGCCTAATAAATCCACACCAACCTTTTAGGAGTTCACTTGTACCCCTTTCTTTTGTTTTGCACAAACCTCCTGTATCTTTTTCTTGTTTAAATCATTTAGGATTTAAAACAAAATACCCCAGATTCACTTTATATTGGACACTGGGAGACAGGAGAAAACCAAGTATCCTGCCGTAAGACGCATTAAATGGGAAGGCCATGAGTGCTTACTAGGTGGGTCCTTATTCTCTCTGAAGTGACTAGAAGTCACCCCATGCTGAGCGAGCAAAAGAAAAAACTCAAATGAGATGCTCAAAATAATTCACAAAAATGGACAGTGAGACCCAAACAACTATTTTTTCAACTGATTTTAAATAAATGGATAGGATGGAGGAGTAAATAATGTGATTTTAACCTCTGTAATAATGTTTGCCTAGATGCAGGCTATCTCAAGGAGTCCCAGCCCCTGAACACATCTGCATACACACACACACACACGTGCGCGCGTGCACATGTGTGTGCACATGCACATATACACACTCATGCACACAGAGCATGGGTCTGATGTCTCCACACAAGTAAGGATGTTTGACCTCAGGTGGCCACAAAACAAGCAGGGAAATCTATTGAGTCCTTCATTCGACAATAAGAAAAACCACTTACACGTCTAAAGTCACTGCTTGTGTTGCCCACACATGAAGCCTACAGCCCACGCGGTGTGGAGTAAGATCTCGCCGGCTCCTCTGCCCTGGGCCGCCTCAGGCCTCCTGAACTCCTCCAGCCCCGCTAACCGCTGGCCTGTGTGCTGTAAGAATGCTGTACCCCGAACACCCCATCCGGGGCTTGCCCCGTTTCCCTGTGCAGCGTCCACTGGAGCCTCAAAGCAAGTCCCCAAAGAAGACATCAGCTCGGGCACGTGGGGCTCACTAACCAGAAACGGCTCGACCCGGACTGTCCTTCTCCCTCCGGCCATTTCCGATCTCCCTGCACTGTCCTGCCTCAGTCCTGGATTTATTTTGTTCCCGAAGCAGCTCAATCTCTACTGGGGCTTTGGAAGAGGGTAGGGGGAGATGTAGCTGAAAGACAGAAGAGCCAAGTGGGAGGAGAGAGAGAAAGAGAGAGGAGAGAGAGGAGAGAGAGAGAGAGAGGAGAACGAACAAGCTCGAGAGAGAGAGAGAGAGAGAGAGAGAGAGGAGCCAGGGAAGGAAGCAGAGGAACCTTAGTTCAAATGAAGGAAGACACTCAGGTAGGAAAAGGAGAAGTAAACTTCGCCTCCCTCATGCCACCCCCACGACCCCCAGAAAAAGGTTTCCTACCATTCATTTTAGGAGGGGGTAACCCAGCCAGGAAGAGGGATCCCGCCTGCTTCGCTCCCCTTCCACTGTGGGAGGTGGGAGCGAGCTCGCATCCCCTACAGGTCCCTCCTGGCTCTCAGCTGCTAGTAATCCATTCATAGGGTTTCAAGAAGCTACACAAAACTCAAGCTTCCAGTTCAGCTCCTCTCTCTCTCCCCTTCATTCCTTTGCTCACCACTCTCCTTCGGCTCTTGGCAGTCCAAAGTTTAAAAAAAAATGTTGAACCATTTCTGTGTTTTCCTCCTGTTGTAACTTTTGCTGTGACATCATAACCCTGCCCACCAACACCCCACCTCTCGCTCTCCTTCCCATCCCCCCCGTCATCGGTTCCATACCCCCAAAACAGCCCCCCCCACAGAGCAGCAGGGCTCCTGTCGGTTCCGACGTGCGAAAGTACAAAGCCACTGGAAGGTGTCCCTCGCTCCCCTCGGTCCCCCCTCCTCTCTGCCCCCTCCCTGCCTTACCCACTGCTCTCTGGAAGCTTGTAACAATGATCCCATCTGTCTGACATGTGGGGAAAGGTGGGCTGGATTCACATCATCTGTCAAGTGGATCAGGTCAAAAACACAGCAACCCCCAACCCCTCAATTCCATCACACACACACACGTGTACACACGCTCACACGCGCACACCCCCCACACACGCACATGCGCACACGCACACGCACACACACGCACACATGCATGTGCACACACGCACACACACATGCACACGGGCACACACATGCACGCACACGCACACACGCGCATGACCCCGGCGACAGTGTGAGAGGAGTCAGCCTCGCACACCACCCACCCTGCATGCCAGGGAGAAAGACACAAAACACGCCAGAGGAGACGCACACTCGGACACACGCGGGGATCCTGTGGCTTCTGTGTTCGTGACACACACCCGCACCCCGGCCCCGGCCCCTCTGCCCCCAGCCCTGCCACTCCGCAAGTGCACAGACTGGAAGGCTGGCAGGAGCTGCTCTGAAACCTCCAGCGAGAGGGTTTTTCCCCTTTTTTCACTCCCGAGCACTATCTGTGGCGATCAGACCGGAGCGGGGTTGCCAGCAAACGCAGGAGGCCCTGCCGGGGTACAGGCTTTCCAGCGGGGAAGCTACAGGGAACGGGGAATGGAGGCTGGAGCTCAGCAGGAGCCGGGCTCAACCCACTGCATTCTGACAGGGGCGGGTGGGGGGACGAATATCATTTCTGAAATGCCCCAGGAATGAAGGGACAGAGCATGGATTCCTTAAAGAGTTTTTGCGAGAGGAACGGTGTCTTGCTCTGCAGGTAAATCTATGAGGCAATGAAGAAATGGAGCTGAGAGAAAAACAAGGA